CTTCCCTGCCAGTGGAATTATTGCAGCATAATCATGCTAAAATGGAATAATTTGAATTAGTGGAAACTTATGCTATTGGTAAAAGATATCTGATTAGTTGGAAGGATGAGATGTCATCTCTGACAGCTACTTAAGGTAAATTACTACAGTAATTTGCATGTTCTCTATTCAGTGGGAGGTGTCTCAGGATGAGGCTGTGTATTTGCTCCTACAGATACACATTACACAAGCCAAATAAAGAGTTCCCAGTGACAGCTCCTACAAGTTACAGCAGAGAAATCAAGGCAAAAGACCCAGCCACAGAGAGCAAACCACTTCTCTGCCTTCTGAATTTTCCAGATGGTAGGTCAAATTTTTATATCATCATTTCACCGAAAATTGAACTGTTTGATAAGAGAGTTTATTTCAGTCCACTTATGTGCTTCTTTATCTGAAGAAAAAAATACTAGATTAAAACAGTGGTTGTGCTTCTATCATAGACAAATTATGCTGGAACCAAGACAAAGATTTAACTTAGAGTGTATTTAGGAATGGATTTGCCCTTAATTTTCTGGCATATAGTTTTGCTAATTAGTCAAAGACAAAGAAAATCTTTGTTGTTCAACAGATTTTTCAGAGTCTAGTATATGTATGTACTTTCTTGCTTCAAAATATTTCATAAGAAAAATATGTATATAAATTCTAGGATTTCCATATATTAATATTCCTAAATTTTGCACTTACAGCTGTAAGTTGTGTAGTTGTTAACTCTTGTCAATACTAGTTCTGGAATCAGTTTGGTTTTACTGTGGCTGTTTTAATAACTCATTTTCAGTCAGAATGGATTTTCTGGTTTGATAAAAGAATGAAAATCCCTTTCAAAAGGTGAATGAGTTCTATATCTTAGTAAAGAAATATCACACAGCTGCTCTTTTCTGCTGTGTTTGCATCATAAAGTTTGTTAATCTTTTTAAAGTAGAAATGGCAATAACATTTCCAGGTTTTGTTAGTATGCAAGGTATGGTACTTTTTCAATGTTTGTCACTTATATAAACAGTACTATTAACATTTTGTTGCCAAATACAATTTTGGAAAGAAAATCAGTAATGTGTTGCTAACACAGATGCTTTTGAAGAAGCAATGAGTCCTTGTAGACTATCATACTATGGACATAACACAGCTTCAGCACCAAATGTGTTCCCAGTTCTTTCACCTTCTTTGGGCATTGGGTCATTAGGAACTAGGTTTTGGAATGCTTAGATCTCTGTGTTTGGTTCTAGTGCTTTTTCAGCATCACCCTGAGGTTCTCCTTCACAGACCTAGACTTGCATTCATAGCATGAAGTCATTCTGAGCTATAGGAAGAAAGAGATTTATGGAAAATACCTCCTTTTTTTTTTCCTCCTGATTATTAGCAACCTAAATTTATGCTATACTGAGGACCCAAGAATCTGTTCTGCAGGTTATGCTTTAGAAAAATGTAATGAAACATATATTGTAAATAACTCTATAAAAGAGAAAGAAAATGCATAATTATTTCCAGAAATGATGGCCTTTGTTTCTCAGTACTTTAAGCTACAAGAACATCTTCCTTAGTACAGGTGGTACATGAGGTGTGTTATTGCCTATGTCTTGTGACTCAGAATACCTTTCAATTGCCCTAAGGATCATGGATCATCAAAATTAAGTGGGAAAATCTCAACTCAAATATTTTTTCACTCTTTTGGTGCAGGCTGATAGCCCAGTAGGTGTAAGGTCTCTCAAAGATATTTTTTCAATAAACAGAAGGCTAACTACAACAACTGGCAAGCACAGAGCTAGAAAAATATAAATTTCTTATTCCTGTATCATTCTGGCACAGTTTAGAAAAGCTGGTGAGTGCAAGTTATTGGATGTCTCCCTTCCTGGACAGAGCTGTATGTCAAGAAGGGAGAAGACACATCTAGTGACTTTTTGTTAACGAGCAGCAATATCACTGTCAGTAAGGGATTCACCAGTATAAATTGTGGCTGAATACAAAATAGACATATACAATAGAATATCAACTGAGAAAGAACCTCATTTCAGACAGCCTCCAAACCTACTATATGAAATTGATTTTCCTTTAAAACTCAATCCTTTTACTTTTTGTACTCCCTGGACTGGGCACTGGGGAGGTCACAGCTCAGTGCTGTGCTTAGCTTTGGGCCCCTCACTATAAAAAGGACATTGAGGCACTGGAGTGAGTCCAGCCAAGGGCAACGAGGGCAGAAAAGTGCTGGAAAACACGTGGGATGAGGAAGGGCTGAAGGAATTGTTTAGCCTTGATAAGAGGCTCAGGGGTGACCTCCTGGCTCTCTGCAACTCCCTGCCAGGGTTGGAGAGAGGTGGGGGATGTGTGTCCTGCCATGGCTGCAGGGAGAGGACTAGAGGGAATGGCCTTGAGCTGAGACAGGGGAGAGTCAGATTAGATGTTAGGAGAAATGTTTTCCCTGTTAGGGTGTTCAGGCACTGGGATATTGCCCAGGGAGGTGGTGAAGTCACCATCCCTGGAAGTGTTGAAGAGGTATCTGGATCTGACACTGGAGGATCTGGTTTTTAGGGTTTAGGGGTTCCAGCAGTGACAGGTTAATGATTGGACTCAATGATCTTAGAGGTATCCTCCAACCTTCATGGTTCTATGATTCTATCACTTGCTTAAACAAAGTAGCTCTAAAAATAGGGCAGTTAGTATAACTGCTGGTATAGATTGTTGGGGGCAAATAAGTTCCTGGAACAGAACCAAATACTTGGTGGGAGAAAGATCCCAGCAGAGAAGGAATATTCTGAATATTTTTGCTCCTCAGTAGCATCAGAAATAATTTCTAGGAACAAGCCTTCTGCTCTAAAGGATGAAGAAAGACAAATCCTTTGCTGTGCTGATGCAGTGAATTTTGTTGTGTGCTGTTTTGTGGCATATCTCTCTTCTGAGGGTCTGCCCTGTCTCAGGTCAATTTTGAACCCTCTTCTGGGCCAGCTGATTCATTCCTTCTTGGGTAAAACTCCTGATGTTTGTTGTGCTGAAAAGTAACTTCTAAAAATCTATTCATGGTAGGCCTGAGATTTCCTCAGCATTATAGAAGTCCTTAGACTTGTGCTTGAACAAAGTGCTTTTCTCCAGCTCTAATGGAAGTGAGCAGCTCCTCACACACATTGTTTCTTGAAGCTCTGGTTGGTCACTCACTTCTTGTAAAAGCCATGGCATCAGCCTTGATGTAACATTAATGCTGGGATGCTCCTTTTTTTAGTCTAAACCTCATCTTTTCTGTGATTTGTGGCTATACCTGCACAATACCCACATTGAAATTCTCACTTTTCCCTTCCAACACTAAGTGTTGGCCTTATGCAGTCTGATCTAGTGAGGAGGTGTCCCTGCCCAGGGCAGGGGGTTGGGACTAGATGATCTGTAGGGTCCATTCCAACCCTTAAATTCTGTGATTCTGTGATTCTAAATTATTATTTTTTCAGGGTTTATGAATAAGCCTCTAGGTGTTATTAAACTTTCTAAAAAGAAGAAACCTTCCACATCCATACAAAGCTGATAACATTTCTGAAAGCTGAAAATTGAGTTTGTTCTGAATTTCAGACTTGGCCAAAAGAGAGGTCTTGTTATGTTCTGTCAGTGTCTATTTAGTCTGGAAATCTTTGGCACTGAAATAAAAATTCCTTGCAGTAAGTGTGACGACAGCACTTAGATTTCCTGCCTGTTTTTCACTACTCCTCTTGTGCTCACTATCTGCAAGATAAACTACAATTCATTTCTAACTTGTTTTCTCTTGAAAACTTGTCTACTCTTTGCAGTACTGTGGGACACTTCTTACTCATATGTGATAACAGAACCCACTGCTCTGTGATCTGCAGTGAAAAACAGGATTCAAGTGAAGAAATTATTAAGGGTAAGTAGAATACTTACAGCTGGATAGAATAGCTGATTGCATGCCTGCTGTAGCCTGAGATATTCCTAGATTAGGACAACTTAATATTCATGGTCAAATGGCCAGTTTCTTTATTAAAGGGGTTTGTGGGAGAGTTCTTAGGCATCTAGCAGTGGGACAAGAGGGCACAGACTCAAGCTCTGCCAGGGGAGGGTTAGGTTCGATATTAGGAAGAGATTTTCTACAGAGAGAGTGCTCAGGCATTGGAATGTGCTGCCCAGGGAGGTGGTGGATTCACCATCCCTGGAGGTTTTCAAGCTGAGACTGGATGTGGCACTTAGTGCCATGGTCTAGTGACCACAGTAGGGTTGGACTTGATGATCTTGGAGGTCTTTTCCAACCTGGTTGATTTTATGATTCTATGATTCTTAAGCCACACCATGAGGTGTGATTTGCAGCAGATTAGACACAAATGAAGATGTCAGTGAGGCATAGGATCTGCCCTATTGCTGTTACAGGAGTATAATATGTCCCTTTACTTACCTTTCCAGTCCATTTCTTCAGTTCTCCTTCAGGTTAGCATTGCTGATGGCACTAACCTGATTTTTTTCTTACTGCTAAACACTGATCTAGTGAAGCTGTCACTGAAGATGCCTCCACTTCCATAGAAAGCCAAAAAGGTATTGTGCACCTAAGCAATTGATTGGATGCAAGTTTAATTCAAAGACAGGGTATATATTTCCAAACCCAGGATCTTTTCTAAGATGAGGTATAATTTTTTTGTGCTTGCCTGAAATGAGAACTTCTATCCACATTTAGCTTCCTTAAAAAAATAAAGCAACCAAAAGAGGCTTCTGCCCAAGGTCCACCATGGCAGAGTAATTCCCTGACCCTCTTAAACTAAGTCAAAACAGTAGTTTCAATGGAAACTACAAGAGAACATCACCTCAAAGCTACTAAACTGCTGCCACGCATGCACACAGACTCATGCATTGTACAGAGCAGCCCACAGATGCATTTATCACTGCATGAATCCATATCCTGTTGGTAGATGTACATCAGTGCAGCATAACTGATGCAGTCAGAGCCTTTTCTAAGATATCAATGATTTTGTTTTCAGTTTTCAAGTATGATGGGGTATGTACGTTTGATCTTCTTATCTACCTTCCTCTCCATTTCCATGACATCTGAGACATGTAAGTCACATTTTCAAAGTACTTTCTGATGAGGTTTGTTCTGTTAAAATGTGTAGGCTTTTTTTTTTTTTTCCCAAATTGATAGTTTTCTTTTAAAATCTGAAATGACTGAGTTTATCTCGAGCCACAAATCACAACTTAAAGACTAGTTCATGTGTTTTCTCTGTATATTAAAAAGCACCAAGTGCTGTCCTATCCTGTGACATCAAGTCTAGGTTGTACTTCTGCCACTTGGCATCTCTGAAAGCAGAAAGAAAAGGACCTTTTTGCAAGGATTTGAGTGTAGCTGATGCTCCAGGTTCCAGCTGGATAAAGTCTCCAGGAGCATGCTTAAATTGCTTAAATTGCACTGAACATATGCATATGCACCCTGCTCAACCAGGGATGTAACTGGGTGCTCTGCTCAATAAAAATTCTATTTAATGTGCTTGATTTGAGGTGTTAACTGACAAGTACAGTGTAACAAGAACATTTCCCTGCACGTGGGGGATGCCTAGAACAGTAAACTCTTTCTGATGGGTCAGTACTGCTGACTGAACTATATATGACACTGACCAGTGATGCAAAGTATTTCCATTCTCCAGCTGAGCAATATATTTGTCTGAAAAATATATGATCTCTACATAATTCTCCATATTGTCAGTTTTACATTATGAATGCTGAGATTCAAACGAATTAGATTTATTGAGTGGCCAAATTCTGCTGAAGAATTTGCCAAGATATTCTTCACTGTCACTGAGTTTTGATGAGGCCTTTCCTTTTCTACTGTCATCCCTCTCCCCACTGTTTTTCCCTGAAGAAAAATGTATTTCCAATGTGTTGGAAATACATTATCTATCCCCTTGAGTGGGGCAATGCCTCTTGTCCTGACACCCCTGATATGTCCCAGTGTCTTTGCAAAGCTGATGAGTAGGAACACTGATAAAATGATAGGGTTGGGAGTACTCACATCTGCTGGGACTAATTTAGGTGCCTGAATTAGTAAGCAAGACATCTCCTAATGTCAGTGGAGATTAGCTGCTTCTGCAGAAAGAACCAGAGAAGAAGCCAAGTGTTCACCATGGAGAAACACTGAGAACCAGAGAAGAAGCCAAGTGTTCACCATGGAGAGAGACTTGCCCCCTGATTTGTGTACCTATGTGTTGGCAATACTCCCACAAAGTGTCATTTTTGATTGATCCTCTCCATTTTGGGTAGCTATTTGATCACCTACTCTCATTTTGATGTTCTCTTACCTCCTGTATTTCCTCTGCTAATCTCTAACTTTGTCCTGTCTCCAGCCTTGCTTATTTTCTCATCTTCCTCTCCTCAAAATTCAATTTGACTTTCAGATTAGTGTTTCTGTTTTCAGCAGCCAATTACTATTCAGGTGCCTGAGCACTTAGATATTTGTCATATTTACTTGATTCGAATTTCTTTGGATCAATTTCAGTATTCAAAAGTAGAAATATACTCAGTAAAAAAATATCTAAAAATGCAGTGTCTTACTCCCAATTTGTTCCTCTTTTTTTTTCTTACGTGTGACCATGTGTGGTTTATTTTCCTATGCTTTTTATTTGTCTTTTACTTATTTGTGGCATCTTTTTACCTTCCCACCTTCCTATGAGATTCTTCCTTTCAGTCTGTTACATTTCTTTACATTTTTCCGCATTGTCATGAACTTCAGAGAGAAATTATTGTGATTTTTTTTATGTTTTGTTTTGTTTTATCTTGGGTTTGTTTGTTTGCTTGTTTTTGTTTGGCTTTTTTGTGTTTTGTGTTTTTTTCTGTGGGTTTTTATTTTGAGGATCCTATCTACAAAGTTCCTCTTTCTGTGATTTTTTTCTCCCATGTGAAAAAGAATCAATTTCCATTTTCTGTATTAAAAAGGCAGAACCAAAGCCCTTCTCTATTACAGAAATAAATATTCATTATACTGAAGTAAGGAAAGGTAAGTTCATAGTACAGAATTAAAGCCAGTATTTCTCTTTGTGCTACTGGTATAAAACCAGTATTTCAAGCAAATATTTGCATAAGAAGTTCATTTTAAGAAATAACTAGTTTTTCTAGTAAATACTCATATTTTTTAGTGTGGGTCTGCTTCGAATCTAGGGATTTGTTTGTTTCAGTCCAACACATAAATTACTAGGTTTTTTTTAAACCACTGGCTCTATAACTCAAGGTAAACCAAGTTTTTATAGAAAATAAAATCTAATGAGAATAAGTTCAGTTTATATCATCTCTGAAAGCCCAAGGAAAGTAGAGGGACATAAGTGGACTACTGATCCTGGAATGTTAAATTCTCCTCTTAGTGGGGCAAAAGTTTAATTCATCTGAGATTTTTCTCTTTGATTCATTTGCAGTTGATGCAATGGAAGGTGAGGCTTTAGTTATAAAATGTCCCCAGAGGAGTTCATCTGTGAAAATCACCTGGTATCACATGGATAATAACAAAATTATTCCTGCAGAAGAAGAGGGATCACGAGTATTTTCCTTGGGACGATTTCTTTGGTTTCTGCCAACTTCTAGAGAGGATTCTGGAAACTACACATGTGTAACACATCTGTAAGTGCCACACTGCAGAGTGAAAGGTGTAAGGTTGGAAAGAAACACTTTTAATAATATATTCTAATTATTATTTGTGGAAACGATGCCATTTTTTCATGGTCTAAACCAATTCATATAAGTTTTCATCCTCCAACTGCTGTTTTTATGACAGGTCATTAAACCCAATCTGTGACCAAAGAACAATAATCATCCCTATGCTTATAAAAACAGCCCCTAACGTTTCTTGCAAGTATTTGATATATTCCATATAAAAATACTCTCACTGACACAACTTTATTCCATTTTTAAAGATCAAATAATCGCACAAAGATGTTCAACACGAGTGTGCAGGTGCATCCATACAAGCAAGGAACATGTTTCCCAAGTCAGATTCGTTACCCAAATGACACTGGAAGAGGAAAAGTTGTTTGTCCTACCATTGATAATTATAAGAATGCTACTGTCATCCAGTGGTATAAGGTAAATAGACTCCTGATAGTGTCACTAGAGATCAGGTTACTGGGAAAAGCAACTTGCAAACAAATAAATTATTCTTTTCCAGGACTGCAAACCTCTTCAGGGTCAGAGATACTTGAAGGAAGAAAAGTATATTTATATTGAGAACCCAGGAAGGGAGGACGATGGTTATTATACTTGTCGATTTATTTACACTCATAAAGGAAAAGTGTTTAATGTATCAGCAACAAGGATATTCATCAGCCAGGGTAAGACAGTCATTTTGTAGCTTGCTAAGATAAAAAAAGCTCATGTCAGCTTAGAATCATAGAATCATCAAGGCTGGAGGAGACCTCTAAGATCATTGAGTCCTACCATTAACCTGTCACTGCTGGAACCCCTAAACCCTAAACCAGATCCTCCAGTGTCAGATCCAGACACCTCTTCAACACTTCCAGGGATGGTGACTCCACCACCTCCCTGGGCAATTCCCTATTCCCCATTCCCCTAACAGGGAAAACATTCCTCCTAACATCTAATCTGACTCTCCCCTGTCTCAGCTCAAGGCCATTCCCTCTAGTCCTCTCCCTGCAGCCATGGCAGGAGAGAATATCCTCTACCTCTCTCCAACCCTGTCAGGGAGTTATAGAGAGCAAAAGTTGAAGCAAAGAAATTCCTTTTCTACATTAAAGAGAAAAGGAGTTTCAGTTGGTTTATTTTATCATCTTAATTAAGCTTTAGCTCAGCTCTTTTAGGTGAATTTTGTGCATTGGTTTCCAAATGGAGCAAGACGGGGTAAAGCCAGACCTGGTCACATTCAGCTTTTAGTTAAAAAGTCTCTGAGGTCTCTGGTAATGTGGTGTGGTTGGTAGAAATGTCTGGTAGCAGTTATTTGTGAAATGAAGGATCTCCTCAGTGGGATGTCACTTTCTCTGCTTTCTATTCATTTGAGGGGAGAAGAATTTTTAACGAGTGAGCATCAACTAGTGATCAATAGATCACTGATGGGTTGATAGCCTACAACTCAATGCCTTTTGGTCCCTCTTGATTATCTAGCATTTATTTGAGAGTAGAACTAAAAAACCTTAACTTTTAGATTTGTCTTGAATGAGACAAAATGAGCAAGATATACACAGGGAGAAAAAATCAGTGGAGCTCAGTGGTTACTGTGCCTTTGTGATTTTGAACATGGACAACACAGCTGAGGTGTGTGGATTTTGAGGTGCCTCTAGGATGCATTATCCTCAGGAAGTTTTGTGTTTGGGTTGTGGTCAGGGGAAGAGCATACAGCAATCAGCAGTTCCAAATCAGGATCCAGGCAGCCACCAAACCCCACACAGCTGCTTGGTCACTGCCCCACCAGCAGGATAGGGGAGAGAATCGGAACGGTAAAAGCTAGAAAAACTCATGGGTTGAGGTAAAGACAGTCTAGTAGGAAAAGCAAAAGCTGCACACACAGGCAAAGCAAAACAAGGAATTAATTCACTGCTTCCCATGGGCAGGAGGTGTTCAGCATCTCCAGGAGAGCAGGGACCAGCACACGTTATTGTTCCTTGGGAAAACAAACACCATCACTCCAAATGTCCCCCCCTTCCTCCTTCTTCATCCTACTTTATATCCTGAGCATGATGTCCTATGGTATGGAATATCCCTTTGGTCAGGTTGGGTCACCTGTCCCAGCTGTGTCTCCTCCCAGTCTCCCATACACCCCCAACTTCCTTGCCATGTGGCAGTATGGGAAGCAGCAAAGGCCTTGGCTCTGTGTGAGCTCTGCTCAGCAACAACAAAAACATCTCTGCATTATCAACCCTGTGTTCTGCACAAATCCAAAACATAGCCCCATACCAGCCACTGTGAAGAAAGTTAACTCTACCTCAGCCCAAACCACCACAACATGTACATACTCCCCAGAAATATTTGGTCATAGGAATAAAACCAGATGATCCCAATAGGCATGTGAAACAGTTAGTTTGCAATTCTGTTTTGTGATCATAAAATATTAACTGTGCAGATTATAAGCCTTATCTTACATAATGCATTTTCACTGCTGTCTAATATGTGCTTTATTTTCTTCCTGAATTTCTAAAGCAAAACCCTCACCTCTAGCTCCTCAAATTTTATTCCCGAAGAATAAAGAGGTAATAGAAGTGGAGCTTGGTAAGCATGAACTATAAATTGTTTTAAATTAACATTTTGTGTTGGCCTAGCAAACATGGGGATCTTCAAACAAATTTGATGATGGAATTTTTTTCTAACAGTTTGGCACCATAATATTGATCAGATTTAATTCACTCCAGACATGGTGGTGTGAAGTTAGATGTAACTGATGGTGTAGTTAGGCATTAAGTGCAGTTTCAGGGGATTTAAATAACTGGTTCTACCTTCACTGGGATAAACTCGGATTACTCATACAGTGAATCATTATATCTCAGCTGAGAGGGTGACAGCTTCCATCCAGTTTAAAGAGAGCTTTTAGCTAAATCTCTTGAAAGTACTTGGTGCCTTCAAGAGGGAAGGATGGAGTATTCTTGCAACCAGAGCTACATCTTGCTCCTTGTCTCCACTCCCCTGTGGAGACAGTGGCTGTGTCTTGGCTGAGGAATGAAGGAGAGCAAGGGGCTGAGGCTGAGAAGCACTGCCTGGCTCGTGTCTGTGTTGACTAGCATTGAACAGAGAAAGATCACAATGACTACTCCACTGTTTCTGTCCTACTGTAAGTCTGCTCTAGCAGCAGCTACTGCAGGGACACACAGAGCTCTGAAGTGCCAGGTACTGTGGCTCAGAGACTTGCCATATTGTCTCTCATTCCCATTCTTTTTTCTTCTTTCCCCCAGTTGTTTTGCCACTCAGAATTAGATGATCTGTTCCTCAGGACAAGCTTTCTCTAATAACATGGTCAATGTCTAGTGCTTTGCAGGCTCTGCCCACCCCTCTGGGCTAATAAGTAATCTGGCACTGCTTACATGGAGCAAATTTGCTTTACATTCAAAAACCATTTGCTGTACTGGTTCTTTTGTCTCCTATTTGCAAAAATGAAGGGATTTCTCCATGCTCCCTAATACCACTTCATGATGTAAATCATAAAATTTGCTAATCTTATCTAAGCCCTGCTTAAGTGCAGATTTAAATGGAAACAATTTAATGTGTTTTATTAATACTTTCTTTCAGTGCAATGGTGACACTGATTTGGAACAAATATTTCCTACTGACTAATACTTAATAAGTAATTTCCTGTTTTAGTTTTGTTTGGACTGATTTACTTTACTTTCGTCCAGCCTGAATAAAATCCAAGATATTTTTTTGCACAAGTCTTGTGCAAAATAATAAATACTGAAAGTTCATTGTTATTTCCATGTAAACTTGTGTGCAAACCACCATACACTTTCCATGTTCCTCAACACAGCTGATTACATGTGTTAAGCATCACAAGTAAAGTGTTCATTGCCTTCCTCATAATAAATACAAATAATTCTTTTTGCAATCCTTGGTGTGTCATTAGATAATTTGTTAAAATTTTCATTTAATGTTTTCTTTTCTGGTCTCTTCTATGCCTCATTTTGTCAGTAGTAATTCAAGAAAAAATATGACCAAATTGTTGAGACAAAACTCACAAGTGGTATGAAGACTTCTAGGGCAAGATGTTATGAGGAAAATAAAATTATACTTGTTTTTCATCAAGGAATGTTGTGTCTTTCTGTATCTTCATTAGGTGCTGCTTTGTCTCTGAAATGTCAGGCTCGCCTGGGGATTAAGAAACAACCAGTGGCTGTTGTCACATGGGATGTGGATAACATCCCAGTGAAATACTTTAATTTTCCAAGATTTCATGAAGAAACTACTTTGTAAGTGTGTATAAATAATCTTTCTTTTGTGCAAACTGCCTAGCCATTAAAACCAATGGTAACAGCTCTTTCTCTATTAGTTTTGAAGGACGTGAGCACGTATACTACAGAGAGACCACTTTGCATATTACTGAAGTAAAACAGGAGGATCTCCAGTCCAATTTCACATGTATAGCATTGAACATCATGCACAACACAAGGGTCACGGTGACGTTACAACCCAAAGCGCAACGTGATGGTAGGATTTTTCATTTTTTTTCACTTCAAATTGAGTTTGAAATATATTGGTGAGTTTATTTTGCTATTTGTTTCTTTTAGTAAGATGGAAAACCAACCAGGTTCTTCCCTACATATTCAAGCTGGTAGTAAAATTGTCATCGTTGAAAGTCCTTGGGGTAAATTCTGTTGGGGTTGGATTTTTCAAATAGTATCAGTGAGAGATGGAATATGCAGAGTGTGACTGTATCAGCCCTGTGATAAGACTATCCTGTTTCTAGGAAACTTCTCCACTGTGATATACCAAACTTGTTTCTAGTGTGGAATGATGGCAGAAAATAGGCAAACTTTAAAAATCATACATACAGTGGTTTGGGTTAGAAGGGACCTTTAAAGGTCATCTAGTCTAACATCCCTTGCAATAAGCAGAGACATCAGGTTACTCAGAGCCCCATCCAACCTGACCTTGAATGTTTCCAGGGATGGGGTATCTACCACCTCTCTGGGCAACCTGTTCCAGTGCTGTCCAGAAAAATAAGACTTTCAGCTGCAGTTTGCCACTTTGTTCGCCTTCCTTCCCATACTGCATCCACTCTAGTGCCTATTTTAAACTGAATGCTAAGTGGCTAACTTCTTTGAAGCCTGTCTTTATCTTCCCCTCTCTGAGTGCCACTGCATTTACTCTGCCACATAGAGGGATGAGTAGCACTTCAAAGGCTTTGCCCTTGTTCTTGTTTTTTAACTTCATGGTACTAGTAGTACCTGAGAAAGACTAAAAATCCAGGGCAGTAAACGGTGGGGACTGAGATGATCCTTAGTTCCTATGGGACTTTTTTTAATAGGGATAGCCAGATCCCTAAGCAGCATTGCCAGCACCACTGAGTTAGATTCCTGAGGCAGAAAATGCATTTTTGTCTGTGAAGGCCCAAGGAGCTGAAGTCAATGGTTTCCTTTCTTATCCCTCCAGATATGCTGAATCACCAAGAATCATAGAATGGTTTGGGTTGTAAGGGACCTTAAAGATCATCTAGTTCCAATCCCCTGTCATGGGCAGGTCCTCCTTTCACTAGATCAGGTTGCTCAAAGCACCATCCAACCTGGCCTTGAATACCTCCATGGATGGGAGGGACATCCATGACTTCTTTGGGCAAACTGTTCCCGTGCCTTGCTACCCTCTGAGTAAAGAATTTCTTCCTTGTATCCAATCTGAACCTACTTTCTTTTCTCAAGGACCTTGAGAACAAAGGCCTTTAACAGGCCTTTGTTACTTTTTTTTATAAGAGAATGGAAGAAAGAGTAAAATCAAGTGTATTGTGACCACAGGGTGTGCACAGATCCGTGTTCTGCAGTATTCTTGACTTCTCATAGCTTGCTACAGGATCCACAACTTCAAAGTCTAGGCTTATTTCTTTGCCATAGCCTAGACTAGAAGGGATGTAGGTGAATTCTAACAGCAGGATAGCAGCAGCTGCCCCCAGAGGAAGGTGATAGGAGTTTTGGTTGGATAGGTGAGTGTGAGTGTAGCATCACTCAGGGAGCTGGAAGCACACCAGCTCTGCACTGTGTTTGAGTGTGGAGTGTACTTGCAATGAGAGGGAAGGAAACTGAATTTCTGCTCACTCTAGTTTAGCAAAACAAGTCCTTTATTG